TTCTCCGAGGCACCGTTAACGAGTTATTAACGAAAAACAATGACCAATGAGAGGCGAGCTCGACTGGCGCGAGGCGGCCGAGCCAATGGGCGGAACTGGGCATCGTGCGCTGGTTGGCTGGGCCGTCTCGCGTCAGCCGTACTCGATTCTTATTGATCACTGTTTTTCGTTGATAACTCGTTAACGGTGCCTCGGAGAACATTTTTGTAAAGGAAGAAGCTGCTTCAAATGATCCGAGGAACCCGCCATTTCCGGATTGCGGGACATTTTTGGGACACTCTGTATATCGTTCTTGCCCGTATAACGAATAAATAAATAAATAAATAAACAACAGAAGCAAGTAAATAAATAGCAATGCGACATGAACTTCGATCGACGCCCGACGAAAGGCTCCGAATAATTTATAACCGTGCCACCGTTAAACCTGACCCTGGTAGCGGCTCCGAACGATAGTAACGCGCGGAGTTCTATCTTTCCGCGATAAGGATCGTCTATATCGTCTGGCAATGAAAACCGTGTTCATTTTCGTAACGAATGTAGTTAAATCTGAGACGCGTCTGTCTATGTATAGTTGATAGCTGAGAGAAAAAAAAACGACGGCGCGCTACTAGAGATAAGGAATTTGAAAGTATCATCAGATAACGATCACGGTTCCCAGATTTTCCCAGGGAATACGTAAAAGGCGGCACGAAAATGTCGCAGCTTAAAATGTCATCTCGCGCTCCGATTAATTACCGTTGCTTCGATTTTATCTGACAACGTGCTCGCGGAGGCTGTCGATCTCGTGTCGCGTCTGTCGCAACACGCGCCGCTATTCGCATCTGAAACGCGACCGAGTTGCCGGCCAATAGGAAACCGTGCTTCCTGATGGTTAGTTTCCCTGACAAAGTATTGATCGACGGTATTTAACGACGTCTACGATTATTTAGCGCCGGGTATCGACGGTAAATCTTCGGTAAATTAGGCTTATCAGCTGGCGTACTATAATATACGTATACTCCGCGTGGGATCCGAGCTGCTACGTTCTACTCGAATATTTATGAAAAGAAACGTGAACCATTGACGTAAGCGATAGTGTTTACCACGGCGTGCTTTCGGATGAAAGTACACGCTTTTCTACGTATGAAAAAGTCCGTTTCGCTCGTCCGCGGGGAGAGCGCGGCACTTTTACCCCGAGAGTCCCGCATAATTGACGCAAATGCCAACGACGATCGACAAACAGCCCACCGTGCAGATAACGATCGCTAATGTACACACCGCGGCGCGATTAATTTAAAGCCCTTATCGCCGAGAAGTGCCGGGAGAGAAACGCGATCTCCAGGACACTCCTCTATCCGGCGGATCCTTTTTATCTATTCCATAAATACATAATTCATCCCGCACCCGTTGAAACCTCTTCCTCTTTGAATAACCATGAACCCCTCCTTCGTCTCTCTCTCTCTCTCTCTCTCTCTCTCTCTCTCTCTCTCTCTCGCCGCACAATTCTTGTCGTTTCCGAAATGTACATTCTCAATGAAGAAATTTAGAGGCACGTAATATGTAATGGGAATACCTAATTCGTACTTTTTTTATCTGCGCGCCGAACAACACCCACGCGATACCTTCGAGCGGAACAGGAACTGGTTGTTCGACGCGGATGAGTCGTTTCACGCCTTTTCCTGCTTCGAACAGCTTATATATTGTTATCGTTGTCCTTTTATCGAACTATAAAAATACCGGAGCCGTCCCGATTGAAATGTTATCGTTAAAGAAAACACCACTCGACGACGATCAGTGATTTAAGGGCACGGACCTAGAGGCCAATTCGCTTATCGATCCCCGCCCCTCGGGCCCGTTCAACGAGCACGAACGCCCGCACAATGTACTCGTTTTCCTCGTTTTCCTCGATCAAGTGTCCGCCGGGTTTCATTGGCTCCGGTTTTTCTTCGGGACTCGGAATACGCCGCGAATCGCACTTACGCCACCGGAAACATCGTTCGCGGCGGACGCAGACTCCGCCGTTCGAGGACGAACGAACGGACAAACTTAAATCGAAGAGTGCCGTTCCAGTTTACCTTTTTCAAACAAGCGAGAGCTCGTTTGTGTGAAAGCACGGGGTAATATACGTTTCGTTCGGCAAACAATAACTTCGGACGTTCCTCGGACGAGGAAATATCTGCTGTTCGGAGCATTTTCACGGCAGCTTTCAGGAACCTCTTCAAAACGTTCCGATATTTTGCGATCCGTGCGATAAATGTTCCGCGAAAACGAGTCATTTTAGAACGTTCGATGAAAATAGAATAGAAAAAAGTCGAATCAAAGTTTGAACTCTGACGTATCCGCGTGAACGTTGCGAGCGAAATGTGTTCAGTATTCGTTGCGAGGATCGAAAACTGTTTAGTATCGCAAATGAAATATATCTGCTGTGAACGAATCTTTGTTTCCATATTTTACAATTTCTTTTTTTTTAACAAGCCTCCGCGTTCAAACGAGTCCGACTAAAAAGTCGCAGAACTCGTGTAAAACTGTAAAATTCGCCAATTTTACAATATGTCGCGGCTAATAAATCAGGATCAGTCGGATTCGAACATGAGAGAAAAATAAATGAAGATCGCGAGATGATTATTAACGCAAATAATTTCAAGGGCCGTACGGTGTTGATTCTATGGCTATTTCGTAATGGCGGACTCACCGATCACAAGTAGAATAAGGTCGGAGACGGCGAGGTTCAGCAGATAGTAATTAGTGGCAGTCTGCATCGAAGAGTTCCTCATGATGACAGTACACGTGGCAACGTTCCCAAAAATCCCGGTGATGAAAATTAGCACGTAAGCTATCGTCAGCGGGACCATCAGCTCGATCGGCAGATACTTCGTGCCCAGCACCTTGGTCAGATACTGTTCTTCCGTGACATTCTGCAGGTCCCAGTCCTTCCAGAAATGGTACGGATTGCTTGTATCCTCGTTCGACATCTCCGTAATAATGTTTCCCCGTAGAGTGTGAACGTCAAGAAGTACGTAATTCACCCGATCGTGTTTGTAAATATCGTTCAGGATAGCAAACGGGTTCAAAGGAGTCAACGGTCTATTTTTAGAATGCATAAACGAGACACCTGCGAGAAGAACCATAACATGTGGACAAAACAGTGCCTCAGGTAGTCCGATCATTCCGGTTTATGTTCATCGATCAGGGTTGAAACCGTCGACGCAGCGCGCCGACACCGACGTTTCGAATTCGAACAGGCGTTTCAGCAGAGACAACGATGGCCTTCGCGAGCTAGAAAATGGTACTTCGAAATGTGCGGTCGCCTGGGAATTGACCGGAAGTGTCACCGGTGACAACGCAAACGAAGCAACCGCATAAAATACAGGGCATTCGTATGAATCTCGCATCGTCGATGCGAACACGATTGTCCCATGGAACTTCTAGGATTCGTTAGCGTCGCTGCATCGTTAGTTTCAACGCGATCGAATCTAGACTGCTGGACAATCCAATCAATTGTATCGACCCGCGTCGAGCAAGCTTATCGATGCACGTACGTTTCCGCTTGGACCGTCTATTCCATCCCGAGGACGTTCATCGGAGTAAGAAAAATGAGACGTTAGCTGAGGCAGAGCGCCCGACTTCCGGTCGCCATTCCGCCGCAAGTCCTCATCCTTCTCCCTCGCGTCTGGACCTTCGAGGACATCCTTGAGTCGACTGGCGGAGCGTGGAACGGCTCTTTATTCGAAGAACAAAGAGACGCGCCACCGGTTATCGAGTTGATCGATGCCTGAGGGAACACTGTATAGCGTCGAAATATCACGAAATTCCCGGAGATAACGATCGGCGGCCTGACGGTAGCACGTGCACCGGTACCAGAAAACGCGTGATGCCGCGGCGCCTCGCGGCGAATAGAACTTAGATCCAGTGATTCCCGATGTTTCGGCGCACGGATAGATCGTTGCAGAGGCAGAAACGAAATCAAAATAAACATACAGGTGTCCGGTGAAAATTCGCGCGATTCGGCGCTTTCGGTAGCTACCGAGCTGCCTGACTGAACGCAATGTTCTCGGCGATACTCTCGGGCACCTGCCGCGGCGACAACAACCTCATCCTCCTCCTGATTGCGCTGATAACGGAATCAGTCTAACGTGTCGTTCAATTGCGTTAGGATCCGCGTTGCACTCGACTATGGTTGCACCCTCTGAAACCTCGAGAGCGCGAGGAGATCGGCGGAGGAGAAATGGTGTACGCTGTCTCCAGAGACACAGAGATCACTCGAATAACGCGATTATTGTCTTCTTACGGTACACTTATCTGTTCGGAAATAACACGCAAATAACTTAATCTGTATTTGATACACAGATTATTATACGGGTTTGTTTAAGAACGCTGCTCCAATTTTGGGATTCTTACGGTTCCGAGATGTCACTCGGTACCGCTCGCGTTAGACGATACGATAGACAATATTAATTGACAAACGGTAGAACGCGTATCGGCCAGTAAAAATCGTGCCAGCCGATAAGATTACTCGGGGACAATGCAACGATAATTTTTTTGATAACGTGCATTTACGTCAAACCGAACATTTTTTTTTTCTTTCTCTGCCGAGAATATATTAATTGTTGCAAAATAATTGGTAGTAAAATGCGAGTAAGAAACCTATTTTATTACATGTTTCAGCGTGTACGGTGTTTCATAGATATGTACATATTATTTGCAATATCGTGATGAAAATATCACACAGAATCATCAGAATCGTCGGAACTCGATTCGCTGACATCTTCTATTCTATTGGGCGGTAATCTATTTGTATTTACAAAAAGATCGTCTTCTTCGCTGTCGCTGTTTTCGTCATTTTTATTCTTTTCATCTGAACCCGATGAATCGTCGAACTCCTTTGGCCAGCAGTTCTGAGATCGGTACCACCTCTGATGCTCCTGAAAAATAAATTCCGTTTCTCCAATCGCTCCGTAATAAGTAATTTATAAGTATTTGGAGAGAGAAGCATACTCGTGTTAATATCTTGACAATCTCTGCTTTGACCTTGCCCCCCTCCGGTATCGGTTCTACCAGCACGAAATCACCCCTCTTGACCCAGATATTCCTCCTGAACTTTGTCGGCATTGACACAAGATACTGATCCCCAGTGGAGTCCTCGACTTCGTGAAGATTGTTGCCACGGGATTCGAGTATTCGAACAACAGACTGTGATTCTGTGGGAACACTCAACACGGCTACCTCCTTAACAACATGTTTGCGTTTGGTTGCTTTCGACATCCTGATCTGTAACTTTGAAGGTACCAAAAACTAACAAAAACTAAACTATTTCTTTCTTAAATCAATATAAAAATATTCACATCATTTGGCACGCGATTGATATCAGTTCAACGAGTACAACTGAAATTAGTATTTCGACCAAAGACACTTATTGTGCCCCTTTGATCCTAATCGCCTCGTCATCAGAGATCTGCTCGTCTTCATTCTTATCGTGCCAGGGGCCGAACGAGCCTTCAGATTTCTTTATGGTGTCAAATATGTCTAAGCTCTCCCCTGGAGGAATATCGTATCCATTTTCCAGACCTCCAGAGTTGGAGGGCGTCTTGCAATTGTCTTTGGACTCTTTGCGCAGAACCGTGTCCACCTCCACCGAGGTGAAAAATGCCACCGACATTGGAAGATCCTTCATGCCCACTTTTGAAGCGCAGAAACATCTAGTCAGAAGATTGGTAACGTGCATGGCAAGAGCTGCATTGTATTTATACTGTGATGGGACGAGGTATCTGACCTCGTCGTGAAAGGACAAGCAGAACCTTATGTTGTCCTTCATTAGCCACTTCATTGAGACCAGCATTAAGTGGAGGAAATCAACTGCACCGCTTTGAACCACCCAATTCACTTTCGTGGGCAGACCGCTGCTGTTGATGTCCATCTCCAAGGCTTTGGTTAGCCTAGAGTTCAAGAAAGGGGTAACAGGATGAGGACTCTCAGCGATCTCCTCCAGCCTATTGAACATGGCTGACTCTGAACCACCTACCCATTTGCCTCTCTCAAACATCTCTGACAATGTTTTACCAAATATCTTGGCTATCTGAAACGCGTTGTAACTGGAATAATCTACATCATCTATGTCAAAGTCATGGTACTCTTTCTTCAGTCTGTAGATCCTCTTGCCTTTAGTCATAGTGAACATCCTTTTAGACTTGGATACAGCCTCGGAGGACGTCATAGATGGGTTAAACTGCTTCAGAAGTCTCTCTGCAAACTTTTGTCCTGCACCATAGATCCTAGCATAATTGATAATCTTTGCCTGGTGCCTTGATATCCCTACAGCTTTGGCTGTGACACTGTGCATGTCTGTTTCGTTCGACTTAGTGCCTATCAGGGTCATCCAACCGAAGGGTGTAGCTCCGTGAATTTTTTTATAATAAGCATCTCCTAACAAGGATGAGATCCACAATTCCTGGCTGTCTACGTCGGCTCCGACGATATTGTATCCTGGAGGTGCTTGTATCATGGCTCTCAACTCGGAGCCAATACGTTCCTCGTGAGCATTGGAAGCAGTCATCCAAGTGGATTCAACTGCTCGCCTTGTTAACGTCCCTGTTACGATTACCAGTGGTACAATTGCCCCATAGCGAAACGACTTTCCAATATCCTGGACGGTATATGGTAAATGAGAGTTGTCGAACCATATTACAAATTGTGACATTATCCTGTCTCTGTTATTCCTCCAGTAGGAGAGCATTTTAGTTATCCTCAATATCTCTGCCGCACTGCTATCCGATCCAGCAAGTACATTTTCGGAAAACTTGTTTAAAAAATCTTTCGCCATAGGATTGCCCACATTGTTGTCTGCTCCGTCCTTGTGTGGCAACTTGAGAAAATAGCAACAGCCATCTATGACTACGTCGCACCAAACTGCGCTACCTTTGTAGACTTTGCTAATATCAACGTCTTGTTCATTCTTTTTCTTATTCTTCTTCTTGTACGAATAATCTGGCTTGTGTAAAGTGTCTTCTACATCTTTGTCGAGGGTCATCATTATATAATCTAGTTCCTTAGTGGAATATTCTGAAACTCTTGAAGAACACTGGGTCAATAGCTGCTTTATGGGTATCTTAGTTTCTACATCTGTGCCGTCCTTAAAAGGTACCAAGATTCCCCAGCCTTTGTCTCTTATGTAGTGCAAAGGATAGTGTTCCCATGTGAGGTTCAAGAGCTTTGGAGCAATTTTCATGGAAATGCTTAAATTCTGTGGACCCGGAGCCCAGTCCTTATCACTGAGTTTGGGGCAAAGTTTCCTGTACCATGCTGGATAGCCTGGCATATGTGGCAGCCTAGCAGATAGAAGCTTTCTTGTTTCTTTTAAATAGCCAAACTCCTTCTCTAAAGGATCCTCCTCGTCTTCGTCGTCTGTGAGATACTTCTGTGCATCAGTCTTTTCGTTTTCTGTAGTCGGTGGTACATACTTCTTTTTGAGTTTTTCGTACGCTGCAGAAGATTTTAATTTCATCTTATTAGTGCTCCAGTCTTCGTCCCACATCCATAGATCTTCTTTATACTTTTCATTATGCATAAGATGACACACAGCATTGGCTCTCTGAGCCAAAATAAATTTAGTTTCATAATTTAAGTCTTCGAATGTTGACTCTGACTCATCTATGTATTTCTGCCAATTTGAATTTGTGGGCAAGTATGCTGTTCCAAGCTCCAGCATTCCTGCCAAAGTAACAGGATGGGGAAATCTTTCCTGGAAAATAGGAAATAAAATCCGTAACACGTTATGTGTCGCAAGCACATCATTTGCACAATAGGTCATCAAAGAATTGAAATCTGTTTTTACATCCCTCAGAGTCCCTTCCATAAATACTTTTCTGATCTCCTTATCTATTTCATATCCGCAGTAAAATTTATGGACCTCTGCTAGGCTGTTTAAACAGGTTTGCATCTTCAAATTCAACTTCTCACTGGTGTTTCTCGCCCCATTTAAAATTCCTCTTTGGTAGCTACTAACTCCACCAACAGATATATGTAGCGACATCGTGTCAACAAATCTTAATCCTGTGGAATTTAGCCAAAACTGTTCTTTGATCTTGCTCCTATCAAACGATACATTATGACCTACTAAAATTTTTGGTTTCTTGTGGTAGCTATTTAATCTCTCTCCGAGTTCTGTGGATTTGCTTTCTATTGGTATCAATTGGTCCATAGTGAACTGCTGCCCCTTGAACTGTGTACTTACACCATCCATTAAAGACTTTGATACCCATCCGTACCATGCTTTATTAGTTACCGCAGTGGCAATTATTGGTAGAGGGCCTTCTTTCATACAAACTTCTGTATCAAAAATCATACCATCCTCTAATGGATAGTCTACAGATTCTGCTCCATTAACTGTATACCTGACCCAGCCTTCTTTCAATATCCATCGATCTGGCATTTTAGGAATATCTTTCATAATATCTTTAATAATTGCTAAATAAGGTTTAACTTGGGCTTCACCAATATTATAAAAATGTTGCTCTATATCATTACCTTCCAAAGGAGGTAATTTAAGATTTACATTTGGATATCTAGTTGCATCTTCAGTTTTTATTCCATACGAATTTAAATCATTTTTTATAGAATTCTTTTCATCAGTGGATATTTCTTGCGTAGAAAAATTCTTAAATATTTGTTCATGTAACGGTTTTGAAAGCATTTGCATATTAATCGCATTGATTCTTATGTTGTCATCCAGAACTTCCACATTTTTGTTGTTATTTTCTTCTTTGTAGGCACTTGTCCGAGAGGTTAGGTTTTTTGGACTTTCTTCCACCTTATGCCACTTCCCATCTCGAAAAATTTTCTTCGTAATATGTTTCCATCCAGTGACTTTAGTATACTTCGTGACGGCAGATTTGCAATGATTAGTAACACTTTTCATTTCCAAGTTACTGTTTACAACTCTGTTAACGATTTCATAATAAGTGGCAATGTGCTCAACACGTGACTTTATTATTTTCAGTGCATGCTACAAATTTTTTAATAATAAACCCATATTAAGTAAAATCTTACCTGCTGATTGTTAATATTAGTCAGAAAATAGTAAACGACAAATCGATAAATTTAATAAACTTAAACGAAGTTACACATGTCATACATTTTAAACTTCAGCATCGCCATGTTGAACCTTCGGAGGCGCAATTTCAAAACTTCGCACCTTGCGTGCATAAATTGATATCAAAAGACAAATACATATCCATACGTTAAATGTGACAGCATTTTCTATAAAATCTATCAATATCGGAAATACCTGTTATTAACAGAAAAAAGTATTAATTATAATATCAAAATTTATATATCATATGAACATATGATAGAATAAACGCTGTTGAATGAAATGCATCGATAAAATACACATGGGTACATTGTTATTTCAACACAGAATAAAAATAATTATTTAATATGTTTTCTAAACATCTGCATATGCATTTCTGTTAGGCAGCACAGTGATCACGACGACATCTTCGTAGCGTCTGCCAGTTTATTGTGTTCATCATGGCTTCGACGGGTTAGTGTGAATTTAATATGCATATTTGATGACTTTTTCATGAAATAATCACGGTAGAAATGTTTTGAAAGTTTTTAACGTGATCTCGTTTTTTACGATGATGATTATTCATACGGTGTACGCGTAAAAACAGTATAATTTCATTGCGGTTTCGTGCTTGTCACATTTGACATTTCTCGTCGTGTGTCGCATGGAAACTTTTACAAGTTTCGATGAGTTTAGCAAGAATAATGGTAGAATTATTTCTTTCCGCAGAATCCTCGGCCTGCGAGACACTTGATTTAAGCGGTCAGGGACTTAAAAAGCTCTCCCGTTGTCCGTCGGATGCAGATATCAGTACATTGATCTTAGACGACAATGAGCTCCAGCGTCTAGATAATCTTGATTCTTATCATAGAATTACGAAGGTAATGTATTTAAATATGACAACTTATGCATACAATTTGTTCCTGTGTATTTTTACATTATGGTACAGTGTCTTGTTATATGTATCTTTCATTGACATGTTAACAGCAACACATTGTCTGATAAATAAATAATTATCCTTAGTGCTGATAGATATAAAATTTCAGCTTTCAATTGTAAGAAACCAATTATTACGGATGTATGGTGTATCAAAGTTACATAATCTTGTAACTTTGAATTTAGCAAATAATGGTATCTTAACCATAGAAGGAATAAAGGATATGATAAATTTACAAACTCTCTGCTTAGCTGGCAACAATATAAAGGTATATAATTTACACACTTTGTTTTTATGGTATCACTCTTGCAGTGAATAAGTAATATTATAAGATAATCATTATACAAGATTTCTAATAATGCATTAATTTATATAGTCTATTGAACATTTACACACAAATACCAAATTGGAACATCTAGATTTGTCTGAGAACAGTATCAGCCACATCTCAGACATTTCATATTTAAAAAATTTAAAGGTAATGTTTCTTAAATTTATTGTAATTTATTCATTCTTGTATTTATGTTAATTGGGAGTTTATTAACCATCGATGATCCTAACATTTTAGGAACTTTTCTTGCATAACAATCGCATCATAACATTGCGGCAATGTGAACGCTATTTACCTACTTCGTTAGAAACGTTTACATTGGCAAATAACAACATTACTGATTTAAATGAAATGTCACATTTAGCTAATCTAAAAAACTTGATCCATTTCTCAATTGCCAATAATCCATGTGTCAGTATGGCAGGTAATAGTATGTATCCTTTTTATTATATATGTTTTATATCTCCATCTAGATGTTAGAGATGGATTAGTAGCATACTAAAGATGTTCTTTTATATATGACATAGACAGAAAGATGTGATATTTTACTATATTCAGTATTATTTTAGAATTACTCTTTATCATAAAATATCATGCTTGTAGAAAGCTACACACAAAAAGAAAATGTTTATACTAACAGTAGACTTACAGCTATAGCTTATTCTTCTTAACAAATAGCTAATAGTGGGTTTGACTATCGTCCTTTTGTTATCAATTGGTGTATGAGCTTAATATCAATTGATGGCTATCCTGTTGATCCTATCGAAAGGTAGGTCTTTTCTTGAAGATATTATAAATACTTATAATGTAGCAGTACCAAAGGTCCAAAAGTCAAAATTGATTTTAAATTATGGTCACTCAGTTTAAAGGCAGAGTGGCTATATTCTCAGGGACGCGGTAGACAATTCCGTGTTGGTGAACATGCACTGCTTGCTCAATACTTAGCATCTGTCTGCCCTCTCTCTGGTGAATCCCTAGAAAACGAGACCGACAGGAAGCTTAGGCTGATTTTGAGTAAAGCACAACATCATCAGCAGCAATTAAATCAACAAAGCGACACTGGAAGTGTGCACAGCTTGAGTAGCGTCGGAATGAGTCCTTCTCCAGCCACTAGGCGTAGACTTAGTCATATCAGGACAAGTTCTCCTAGACGTGCCAGTGAGTCCAATTAATCCTTAAGGTTTTCTTAATTCTTCTAAATACAATCAGGAATCAAATTTCTCCATTTCTATCTGTAATCGTGGACTAGTAGTGATGTACACTTTCCAGTCGTCATGCACATTATACATGTTCTAGTTATAATGTGTTTTCTCTAGTTGCGCCAATGTTGACATACTATGAAGATAAATGCTTACAGTCACCAAAATTTTACGAAGCAAAGTACTGTGTGTGCCATTCACCTTGTAAAGGTATCCAAAGTCAGAATGAGGATATATCACATACGGCTATAACTGCGTTGCGGACATGTGTAAAAATCTGAGAACTGCATTTCTATGTTAGAAAAGCTCATGCTAAAAATAATGTTAATAATGTCTGAGAGAATACTGTTATACATTATAAACAAATTTTACCTTAGATTGATGCACATGTTTCTATCTCTCATGCCTAGTATGTAGTATGTTTTTACAATTGCTTTTTTGAGCTTATAGCGCTAATGACTTTGGAGAATGAAAGATGAAACGTTAAAATGTTATGATAATAAATGCTAATTAGAAGATTTGGTTAGCAAATTATCGTTTGACGATTTGGAAATACATTTCACGTAGTTCACAATTCTTCTATTGTTTGTCTAGTCTTTAGTCAGATATCATTTGCACGCTTCTGCTAGCAAAGCTAGCCCCATCCAACATGAGCATAACAAAACACACAATACCTTATAAGATAAATTACAAACATATAAAATGCATGATACTTAACTAGGTACATCGAGAAATTCATTAAGAATACGATCTCCAGACAGAATGATAACTAGTTGCCATACTGATGCCATGGTTTCTTCATGCCATACTCTTTTAAACGAAGAACATGAAACATTAATGACACAAAGTTTGGATCCGAACATGCTATGTGGCACATTAAATAATAAGTTATCGAGTAATCCTGTTGCAAGTATTGAAGGTACATTGAGAGTGAAGAGAAAAGTATTTACCATTGTTTATAATATATAATAATAATAATAATGTTTCGTTTCCAGAAACATCTAGTCCTTTGCAGGCTGCGACAAAATTAGTGCCTGTTCCAGAATCTCTTATGAGCCCAGACTTTCGCCCACCGTCTGGTCTTTCTCGTGTGTTAGCGAAAACACCACCAAGTAAATTAACATCACCGTGCCAAATTACGATGCCCAGTAAACCCATGACCGATGGAGATGGCAAGGCCATTCCCATAATAAATACAGTAAACCCAATGGCGAAAACGAATCTCAGCGCTATAAAAGCGAATGCGCTTGTAAAAAGTAACTCTGCAACCAATTGTAATATTGGGAAACCAAGTATCGCTAAGCCTATTGTTACGAATCCTAGTAATAAATGCCCGCATAGTGTGAAAATTAATAATTATGTCCAAAGTAAAACGTTACCAGGAAGACGAAGTACAAAGAATTCACCAAATCTAGGCAGAAGCATACAAAGGCCCAAAAGCGCAAATGATAAACTTAAAAGTAGTTTAATTAAGAAAAGCGGAGATGGAGACGCAGGTAATGCTACTCAGAGTAGCGACGAGGATAGCGAAGTATGCCAAGCAAAATTGGACAGTATTCGCAACAGGGCAATCCAAAGAAGACAAGAAGATAGTAACAAAGGTGAGAAGGTTTTTCAGGATATAAAAATGATCAAGGTGTTGCAGAGTTTTTTCTCGTTATTATTTTCACCATTTTTTAAAGCAGATCAAGATGAAGCTGAAAAAGCAGCAATATGCATCCAAAGGATGTGGAGAGGCTACCATACTAGGAATCTTAATAAAAAGGCAACTAATGTTCTGAAGACTATTGAAATGATGAGGACTGTCAAATATATTGAGTAGGATTAACATTTCTTTATTCTTCATCAGTCAGTTAATTAGAATATTGTACAAAATGTTAATCTTTTAGGAAACTTTCTACCGACATGGAGGCTACTAGAACAGCTTTAGAAAGCGAGCATAAGTTACAGTTATTACAAATGCAAGCGATTAATGCATTATGGAAAAAAGTTGTTAGTCTGCAGCCTACTACTAATCGAGAGTCTGCGAATAATGAAAACGAAAACCTTGCACAAAATGTAGACGTTGTAACCAATTTAGCGCAGACATGTAATTTATTACATACTCAGGTAAAGTTCAAATTATATAATTGCAATGTACTTATATAAATTTCAATTGAATGCATTGAATAATTATTACGAAATTGATTCATCTTCAGGTTCAACAATTACAAGATTCCATGTCAGAAATAAAACGATGCATGTCGAACATGCAAACGAAACAAAATCTGATTGATAACGCTGTCGCAACGCAAACTGAAATTTCTGCTGTTCATACACCAGCAGGCGAGGAAAACACATTTCCTTATACACGACCGCATAGACCACAGACATTGCCAATCCATCAAACGATTCATGAAGGCAATGAGAACAAAAGTTTTGCGTCTAATCTTATCGACAGTGTACTGAAGAAGGTCTCTCAGTCCACCGACACGACAGACGACGAAGTTAATACCGATATATTAAATTCTAATGAGAATCCTGAACTAATGAATTCAAACGAACACGCAGAAATGTTTAAAAGCTGTGAAGAAATTGGGGATCCTGAGTTTAAAGATGTAGCGTGTATCGACGGGACAAAAGAATACGATGTAATCGATAATACTGTCATAAATGGCGAGGTTTGCGAGGAAACCTTGTGTAAAGAGTTGCACAATTTAATCGAGACAGAAATCACGTCGGAAAATGGCCAAAATCTCGATAAAGAGGAGAGCCCTGAAGAATTTGAGATAGAACAAGCTTAATTTACAAAAGCACGCAAGAGAGAATACTCGAGAAAGTGAAGGTGCAAAGTCATGAGTTTGAAATAGAAATAATGAAAAAGAAATTACGAATTACAGCGAACCGTGTTTAACACAGAAATGAAAACGATATCTAACTAAAAAATGCTCACTGTATATAAATTACAAAATAGCTTTTATCGTATTCAGACAACAAAGTTTTATGATTTTAGTCGCATGTATTTCCTACAGTTTATAATCAAGAAGGATGTGATACTTTACTCGGAAGTTCAAAAACTTTTCGAGATAAACAATTAAAAACTGAACAAGTACTAGTCGCATAATTTTAAAAAGTCACGTCGCTAAACAATTTTATCATGTAACGTCGTACATCGTGGTCATTGAAGCAATTTTGAAAAATTTTCCGTCCACATATCTGGCTCCTGAAAATTTCATCGATGTACAAAGTGTGTATGAATAACGTTGTGTATCGTAAACGAAAAACTTTGCCCCTTCTTAAAATTACAAAAAATGTTATTGTACAGGATGAACTACGCGCTTGACATCATACATTCCCATGTCGTTCGTCAGTTTCCAGATCGAAATAGCTGTAGAGTCATAGAAGTGAATTTTGATATATAAATGCATTCCTTGTAAGTGGCAGAAGAATTTTCGGTTTTGTTAAGACGTTGCCTGAATAACATTTATATAGGTAATTATTCTATTTATTTTCTTATTTATTTATTTACTATTTCTTTAAGAGATGCGAGATCTAGAGAAAAATGATAGTGCTGGAGATGGTAGTTAGTAACAGAGTCATTTTTAATCTAGTCACTGCAATAACTCCTATGCTTGTAACTGCTGTAGATAATTAACTAAAACTTGTTACATAGGTATACAGTGTTATTAAAACAAAGAAACAGAATACCTTTCAACGAAAACAGATAATTAAATTGTTGAAAAGAAGCGTGAGTTTTTAATTATAACGAAAGAAGATTGCATTTAGCAACCTTTCATATGTGCGTGAACTTTACACATCTGTTTTTTATTTACAGTATTTAGATATAAAAAGAACTCACGTTCTAGGATTACTACTATAACGCAACAAACTACGTGTGAGCTCCTACTAAAATAATACCATAGCATTTATTTTGTGTGACATATTTTTGTCATGTGTCGCATACAACATTTTAACACTTTGACTTGTTAAAAACTTGATATAAGTGTTCAATAAATGAGTTGCATACAC